TAGAAAAAGTCAATACAATGAACTTTGTCCTGAAGTATCCATCGACACTGCGAAGCACACATCCAAACTGAGTTGGATATCGAGATTCTATACTCTAGATCTGGAAACAAATGAAGCAGCTCACACGACGAAGCACGTTTCAAAACGGAAGTAGTCCCCGGTAAAATGTGAAATGGTTAAGGGCAGAGTGAAAACACCCGAGAGCTTCAATTTACAGGAAAAAAATCACCAATCCTGAAAAATCAAAAGGTTGTTTCCGAACGTTGAAAATATGCACACGTAACCCCTTGTGAGAAGTCTTACCTGAATCATATTTTTGTAGATTTTATGGGCACCTGTGTAAAAAATGTATACTGACCCCACAAACGGGCTTAGCTCCATTATAATAAGATTACTATCATTATCATTATTATTATTATTATCATAATTAATAATAATAAAAAACATAAAAGTAATAATAATAGTAATTTACATAGTGAGTAATCCTTTAAAGGCTCCAAGTGCTGAACAATGCAGAATTATCATGTGTAAAGAAAGTAGAAATTAAAATATGCATCTATGAAATTGTTCAACATTTTGCCTAATGGGCTTCATGAGATATAGATCTAGATCAATGCTGAAATAAACTAGAGCAAAAATTTGATGATGACGTATATAACCAGAGCCAACAAGAATGAGTAAAATTCAATCTAATCATTGATGAAGCAGCTCTCTAAGACTTAAGTGGGTAAAATTCATAGTCATAGTTTGCTATGAACAGAGAGCGTAGTGAAGCTAAGACTTTCAAGAGGCAAGGGAGTAAGTGTTTTAAAAAAGGAATAAAGAAAGAAAATTTGAAATAGCTTCAGTGGAAACAAAGTTACTCGTAAAATACCCCAAAAAAACCCAACTGACCATAAAGACAAAAAAAGGACCGATTGTCAATTTTCTTGTGTCGAGGTGATGGAATTTAACGCATCGACGTGTTTGCTTACACAAACTGGAGGCCTGTGAAAAGGTGGCTGTCGACCTTTCTGATGACGTTCGAGTCTAGCGCCGCTGAGCTTTCAGTAACATTGAGTCAATACTGTCTTGTTGAACCAGCACGGCACAGCACTTCTTGGGTTTTTTAAATTTTGTTTTTTTTTGTTTTGTTTTGTTTTGTTATTTTTTTGGGTTTTTTTGTTTTTTTTGCTTTTTAAACTTTGCCCTGCCTCCATCAATTTTTTAAAATGTATGTGACCACGCCCACTGACATTGTGTGGAATTTTCCCCCTTGTTTGCAGGGCCGAAAGTATAGAAAAACCCCAAAGAGAAACAAAACAAAAGCAAAAACTATCAATCGAGTTTCTCATAAGCAACAAATTCATTTAACCAATTTTGGGGAAACTTAATTAAAAGGAACTGGGGGCAGACGTAGAATATTAGCATTCCTGCAATAACCCTACGCTTCTCAAAATGAACATAACGCTATTACAAGTAGGCCTTCTATTCCAACTTGATTCCATGTGTCCTCAGAGATTTACGCTTTCTCGTTGACCTCTGCGTGCTCGAGACCCTGGTACTGGACAACAATCTGGTCACCTCACAGGTCAAGGTGCCCTATCTCCCACAGCTGCATACCCTCTGGCTCAACCACAACAGAATAGAAAATCTGGGTAAGCCAAGCAACGAACAAGTTGTGTATATTTGTTTGTTTGTTTGTGTGTGCTTCTAGTTGACACACAGAAAAAGGCACAAAATAACAAAATGGAATAATAAATGCATATTGGTGTGAGTTACACGGCTATGTTTAGAATGCACTATGTCATGTAGCGTTATCAGAATGATTTTATAATAGGCATATCATTCGGTTCCGAGCTTTTAGGTTCACAAAATTTGGTGTCAGCTGCATCTTACTACTAATGGAGCTAAGGCCAAATTTTGCGAACAGTATATTCTCAAAAACTACCGAATTAAAAATTAAGAAACTTTGCCAGTACCCATAACTCGAAACGTAGTGTTGCACTATTGTATTTTCATTAAGATCAAAAGTGTAAGAAGAAAGCCCAGTTCAAGTTAAATTCAGTCCTTTTGTAGCCATCGCCATCATTTGCTTCGACATTGTATATTTACTGCTGAGTGCCGACTGCGCCAAAGGGTATTTTGTGTTCAGTTGTACATTAAGTAGATTTATGAGAATTCCCGGTTTCGCTCTCACGCCTTTAGGAGGAGGAGGAAGAGGAGGAAGAGGAGGTGTAGGTGTGGATGGAGGAGGAGGAGAAATGAAGAAGAAGAAGAAGAAGAAGAAGAAGAAGAAGAAGAAGAAGAAGAAGAAGAAGAAGAAGAAGAAGAAGAAGAAGAAGAAGAAGAAGAAGAAG